TAACTTTACGGTTTCTCCTTGTCCTCCTCCCTAACTAGAAGGTGGCCCTTGGAGCAATAAGTCCTCAGTGCAGGAATACAAGAATTGGTACTCGTAGTGGGGGAGGAGGAGGAGGTAAACGCATTACCTGGCTGGCGACTGGTGGCACCTTCCTCCTGGTCAGTTGTTTGATGTCACTTTGGTATGCGCTGGACTTATCCTTCTTCCCTCCCCCATCTCCTCCTCCTCCTTCTTCACCACTTCCCTCGCGGTTGGATTGTGTGGTGCAGTGGGTGGTGTGGTGGGTGATATGGTGGTGATATGGTGGAGTGGGTGGTGTGGTGGGTTGTATAGTGGGTGGTAGTGAGTGATGTGGTGGGTTGTATGGTGGGTGGAGTGCTGAATGGTGTGGTGGGTGATATGGTGGAGTGGGTGGTGTGGTGGGTTGTATAGTGGGTGGTAGTGAGTGATGTGGTGGGTTGTGTGGTAGGTGATGTAGTGGGTTCTGTGGTGGGTGGTGTGGTAGGTTGTGTAGTGAGTGGTAGAGTGTGGTGGCACATGGTGGATCCACACCAACGTAACTTTGTTGGTCACTTGTTTGCAACATTAGTGTTGCGAACATTGTCGCCAACAGAAAAATGTGAAGTCATTTGACTGGTGTGGACTATGAGATTATTTCACATTTCTGTCCGACATTGTTGGCAACTTTTATCCAACATGATGACGACAATGTTACCAACATTGTTATGCTGGTGTAGATCCACCTTTACAATATAACCCCTCCCCTTGTATATCTTCTTTCTGCCTTATTCCCTCTTTTTCTGCCTTATTCCCTCTTTTTCTCATCCTATCCTTTTCTGACCCTGTATCCGTACTTCTCTCAAGATTTTACTCCTGACCTTTTCATTCGTACTCGTCATTTCTTCAAAATAAATCAAGATTGCTTCATTTTCTTCTCCTAATTTACCTGTTTGTGTGTGGGACAACACAGCACACTCCTCTCTTCTTCTACAAAAAAAAAAGAGGTTAGATTTTGATGAAACTCGACAGATCCTTTGAGAGTCACAGGTCAAGGTCAAACTGTTGCCGTGTCCCCCAACTGATTATTATTTCTTTTATCAGAAATTCTCGAAGTCTAAAGAATGTTACAGGATCTAACTAATCGAACCTATCCTATCGTAACTGAACATTATTTAAACTAACCTTAGCCTACCTAACATAACCTAATATTACCATACTTAGCCTAGGTTAGATTAAGTTAGTTTGTGATATTGTTATTTTTTGCTGCTGTAAAAAACAAACATTCTGTCGAGATAAACGCTGACAGTGTACTGGTCGGTGGTGTAAGCATGGCTAGATGGTTTATATCTAACCGATGTTACTGTGTCTTAAAGCCTCACGGTTTCTTATCATTTTGGATTATTATCAAATACTCATTCACACGTAAGACAAGCTTGATGTTCATTGTCTGTTTTTTTCTTATTGTAAGTTAATACATTCTTAGTCCATAGCTAACACGAGATGTTCCAAACGCTTTCTCATTTGGCTGTGCGATTACTGGCTATCCGTGACGTCGCTAATCATAACAAAGACACGTTTGCGTATCAAATGTCTCCGGCATCCAGTATTTTTGTCTTGCCTAGAAGAATTGATGTGAATACCTTTTTAAATTTTCGACATGAATTAATTTTACAGTTTCGCTTCCAACGAGCGAACAAAATCGGTAGACACGGAAGCATAGGAGCATCAGAGGTCATGTCATGAATATAACTATGACATCATCATTTGATTGCCCAATCCCAGCCCAAAACATTGCTGGCTTTCACAAGACCAATAATTATATCAAAACTAACAGTCTCTTCACTCTCTTTACTTGTTAAGACTGACACTTTATTGTCCAGTGACTGTCCTGTAACTGTCATGTTTATTGATGACTGTTTAACTCGGTGACCATTTCATTAACTATTTTACGGTTTAACTTTTTTTTTGTTACTGATTAAACCTGCTCTCGGGATCAGGTATAATCATCTTCACCTAATAATACAGAAGTCATGATAAAATTTTGCTACCATCACAGCTGATAATAAATATGAATGCTAACAGCTGACGTGTACAGGTGTTGTGGTGATATACCTGCATGATGATAGTGTGTGATTGTCCTGTTGCCAGTGTCTATATTGGTTCCAAGTTGTAATGTCTTTTAACTTTGTAAGATTCCCCTGTCTATTGTTCAGTACTATTAATATATTGCAAAAGCCCACAGTGTCTAATATGACTTCTTTTCAGGTATGGAATGGATAGTGAAGGATACCTGGCGTGTATAATGGAGGCTACTTGGCCTGAATAATGGAGGATACCTGGCGTGGATAATGGAAGATACCTGGCCTGGGTAATGGAGGATACTTGGCCTGAATAATGGAGGATACCTGGCCTGGATAATGGAAGATACCTGACTTGGATAATGGAGGATAACTGGCTTGGATAATGGAGGATAACTGGCTTGGATAATGGAAGATAACTGGCCAGGATAATGGAAGATAACTGGCCTGGATAATGGAGGTTACTTGGCCTGGATATACCTGGCATGGATAATGGAGGATAGTTGATAATTGATCTGGATAAAGAGATGGATAACTAATTTGAGTGATTGCAGATTGTGGGTTAATTAATCTGGATGATAAAATAATGTTCGGACTACATTAGGATAATGGATGTTTTAGGCCAACACGTTAAGATAAGGATAAATTTAGAACTTTGCTTGGATTATAAAGGTTTTTTTGGTGTACAATATAATGTGAAAAATGAAGACCTATGGCGGAAAAAATATAAAAAACATTCATGTTAGTGGAAAGTTTTAATATATATATATATATATATATATATATATATATATATATATATATATATATATATATATATATATATATATATATATATATATATATATATATATATACACACACTTAACCTTCCTTTTGTAATGAATGTATACTTGTATTTTTTTCCTGTGTTGTTTCATTATTCATCAAATGAAATTAAAGTATCATTATAATTTGCACTATATAATTATATAATGTTAGTACAGGTCTGTATATTCGACAGTGAGTTTAATTCTGGTCAAACCCTTGTTTTCAGTATGTAATTATCATGTACAGCACCTGAAGTGTTGTACCTTCATTGCAACCATGTTGTAGCCTCATGTGATCATATTGTACTGTGCATTACGTAATTTTGTACCCACTGTTCAGGCATTTATTATCGGTTATGTAATACGTATATTTTTATTTTATTTTTTTTGTACTTCACACACACACACACACACACAGTCAGTCATACATAATTCCAAAAGTTTAGAGAAAGATTAATATATTCAAGTAAATAGATGCCAAATTTACACTCAACATATAAAAAGATGTTAGAGATAATGTTTTTTATTCATATGTCAGGTAATTTAAAGATTTTTTCTTTTCAAGTTTACTTACAAAATTATCGACATTTCCCGGATTGGAGGAAATATCCCTATGTGTTATAAAACCTCCATGATGGTGGAGAAATTACTTGGATTTCTCGCCAGGAAGAGCCAATGAGAGGTATGAACACGCCCGAGCTGTTTTGATTGTTGCTCAGAAGGCCGGAAAACGACAGGCCTTCTCTGAACAATCAATAATTCAGGTGTTCTCCACTACAGCTACACTTCAAGGTGTTCCTCCACTACAGCTACACTGCGGTGCTCCTCCACTACAGCTTCATGTCAAGTTCTCCACACAGCTACACTTCAGGTGTCCTCCTACAGCTACACTTCAGGTGCCTCCACTACAGACACTTCAAGGTGCTCCTCACTACATTGCTTCAAGAGTGCTCCTCCACTACAGGTACACTTCAAGGGCTCCTCCACTAGCTACACTTCAAGGTGTTCCTCCACTACAGCTACACTTAAGGTGTTCCTCCTACAGCTACACTAGGTGTTCCTCCACTACAGCTACACTTCAGGTGTTCCTCCACTACAGGTACACTTCAAGGTGCTCCTCCACTACAGCTACACTTCAAGGTGCTCCTCCACTGCTGCCAAGGTGTTCCTCCACTACAGCTACACTTCAAGGTGCTCCTCCACTACAGCTACACTTCAAGGTGCTCCTCCACACAGCTACACTTCAAGGTGCTCCTCCACTACAGCTACACTTCAAGGTGTTCCTCCACTACAGCTACACTTCAAGGTGTTCCTCCACTACAGCTACACTTCAGTGCTCCTCCACTACAGCTACACTTCAGGGTGCTCCTCCACTACAGCTACACTTCAAGGTTGCTCCTCCACTACAGCTACACTTCAAGGTGCTCCTCCACCACAGCTACACTTCAAGGTGTTCCTCACTACAGCTACACTTCAAGGTGTTCCTCCACTACAGCTACACTTCAGTGTTCCTCCTACAGCTACACTTCAGGTGCTCCTCCACTACAGCTACACTTCAAGGTGCTCCTCCACTACAGCTACACTTCAAGGTGCTCCCCCACTACAGCTACACTCAGTGCTCCTCCACTACAGCCACACTTCAAGGTGTTCCTCCACCACAGCCACACTTCAGAGTGTTCCTCCACTACAGCTGCACTTCAAGGTGCTCCTCCACTACAGCCACACTTCAGAGCACTCCACCACAGCCACACACTCAAGGTGCTCCTCCACTACAGCCACACTCAAGGTGCTCCTCCACTACAGCCACACTCATGCCCTCCACCACAGCCACACTCAAGGTGTTCCTCCACCACAGCCACACTTCAAGGTGTTCTCTCCACTACAGCTGCACTTCAAGGTGCTCCTCCACCACAGCTACACTTCAAGGTGCTCCTCCACTACAGCCACACTCAAGGTGTTCCTCCACTACAGCCACACTTCAAGGTGCTCCTCCACTACAGTTTCATGTCAAGGTGCTCCTCCACTACAGCTACACTCTCAAGGTGCACTCCACTACAGCTACACTTCAGAGTGCCTCCACTCAGCCACACTTCAAGGTGCTCCTCCACCACAGCTACACTTCAAGGTGCTCCTCCACTACAGCCACACTTCAAGGTGTTCCTCCACCACAGCTACACTCCACGGTGTTCTCCACTACAGCTACACTCAAGGTGTTTCTCCCACTACAGCCACACTTCAAGGTGTTCCTCCACTACAGCTGCACTCATGGGCTCCTCCACCACAGCTACACTCAAGGTGCTCCACTACAGCCACACTTCAAGGCCTCCACTACAGCTACAATTGCAGTGTTCCTCCACCACAGCCACACTCAAGTGCTCCTCCACTACAGCTTCATGTCAAGGTGCTCCACCACCAAATCTACACTCCAAGGTGCACCTCCACTACAGCTACACTTCAAGGTGCTCCTCCACTACAGCTACACTTCAAGGTGCTCCTCCACTACAGCCACACTTCTGGTGCTCCTCCACTACAGGTACACTTCAAGGTGTTCCTCCACTCACAGCTTACTCTTTCAAGGTGTTCTCCACCACAGCCACACTCAAGGTGTTCCTCCACTACAGCACACTCTGAAGGTGTTCCTCCACCACAGCCACACTTCAAGGTGCCTCCACTACAGCTACACTCTGTGTTCTCCACTACAGCTACACTTCAAGGTGTTCCTCCACTACAGCTACACTCAAGGTGTTCTCCACTACAGCTACACTCTGATGTGTTCCTCTCCACTACAGCTACACTTCACAGTGTTCCTCCACTACAGCTACACTTCAAGGTGTTCCTCCACTACAGCTACACTTCAAGGTGTTCCTCCACTACAGCTACACTTCAAGGTGCCTCCACTACAGCTACACTTCAAGGTGTTCCTCCACTACAGCTACACTTCAAGGTGTTCCTCCACTACAGCTACACTTCAAGGTGTTCCTCCACTACAGCTACACTTCAAGTTAATTTTAATGTTTGTTATATCGAAATAAATAATGTTTGTCAAATCATAAATACAGTACAGTACCAATACTCTGAAGAACTTAAAATCTGTACTGCTTTATTTTCTCGAGGCAAAATCTTCAGTAACACTATTACCTGACAGCTGCCTGCTAATATCTTGATTAATATACTAATAATAGCGAGTTCACCGAGGCGATCTTGTGCCATTGTGGTTCCGAGATAGGTCTTTATGAACTCGAGTTTTGAAAAGCTTCTCTCAGCTGATGCCACTGTCACTGGGAGAGTGCAAGCAATCCCAAGTGCTATCAAAAGATTGGGATAAATTTCTTTCAACTGCTACTGATGAAGGTAATTTAAGATTTCAAGTGCTGTCCTGATGTCTTTCAACTCTTTTGGCAAATTTGGAAGGCTTCCTTCCCTACCTTAATGTTTCCCCAAGTTCTTCACACTCTTTTGTCACTGCCTCATTGATCATGTTTGAAAAGTTGTACAACACTCCAAACTTAGTTCTCACATCCCCTAGTGCTTTGAATCTGCCAATCTAAAGACACAGTGGCTGAGTCGACCACCATACTGAAAAATGTGACTTTCATCCTCTCCATTGCATCGTTTATGGGTTCATCTGGATATTCATAAATAAAGTGTGTCTTTGTGATTCATAGCCGTTTCTCTTTTTTAGGACAGCCTCCACATGCATATCTTCTTCGAATATCTCTTTTTGCAGTGGCTCGTGCTCCAGCAAAACCATTGTCTCTGTTATGAAAAAGGCTTTATTCTTCTCTTGGAAAGTTAACTGCCAAGTCATAGGTGTCAAAGATGACGTCACAGCAGTTGGTGAGACGTCAAAGCTTTTAGAGAGAGAGAGAGAGAGAGAGTGAGTGAGGAAGTAAGAGGGTGGAGGGATAAAAGAATAGGGATGAAAGGAAAGGCAGCATTTACAGTACCATTCATAAATCACCTGAAGATTAACCCTGTCCTATTCCCCATCATGATTAAGCGCCCTGATGGTGTTCCTTGGTTAGGTTAAGTTAACATTAGAATGATTAATCTTAAGGGGAAATAAACTGGTTGACTAAATCTTTAGATGATCCCAATTCATTTACAATGCAATGAAGATGTAATATACTGTACACACCAGTCATTATCTGCAGTGAATATCTCCAGATCCTTGGTAAGAATTCCAGACTAATACCACATATTTTGTTAAGTAAGGTAAGGCGAGGATCCTGGTGCAGTAGTAGTGATAAAGTCCATGGTAGAATATGAAGGCCCACGGCTAACAGGCCAATTAGTGGAAGTTAAGAAAATATAATCCTGTGTCAAGGTTTAATTTTTTCTTTTATTTTTTTTTCTTTACAATACTGTAATAACTTTATCCACTTCGCCACTGTTAGTCTCTTCGGCGGGCGGTAATTTCTCTTGTTAAACAGTGTTGGCAAGTGCTGGTCATGTACTGGTTCTATTACACACTATTGGCATGTACTGGCTCGCTGTCACACACCATTGATAAGTACAGTACTGGGCACGTAATGGCTCTCTGTTACACACTATTGGCAAGTACTGGCTCTCTGTTACATACTGTTGGCAAGTACTGGCTCTCTGTTACATACTGTTGGCAAGTATGGCTCCAGAATGTATCTATCTGTGCCTGCACCAGTGTTGGTCAAGTTTGGTCTTGAATGATCATCCACTCAGTGCTGTCATAACACACACTGGAAAGTTATTATAACACTTCACAACTCACTCCAAAAGTTTGTTCTGTCAATGGATTTCTTAAAAAAATCAAGTTAAGAGGTGACTGGCCAACAATGTAGAAAGTCACATATCCGGGAATTCTCGGTTGGGCTGACTAGAGGTTACGTAGCTTGAATGTTCAGTTAGGTTGGAAAAGTCAGGTATCCTGATGTGAGAGTTGTAAGGTTTGTCACCATGTCATTAATTGTTTCATTACTGGCCGTAGTTAGAACCCCAGATGAAAGAATGGATAACATGAAGAATCGACACTCCAACTTGTTACACCTGATGCTTAAACACCTTAGTGCTACCTAACCTAACCTAGCCTAACATCTCCAAGTTCTTTTTAGTAAATATAATATTTTGTCTGTTCCAGGGGAAGTTACAACAAAACTTTGGAAAATTGAACTGCACCACCACAGCTGAAAATGGCCAACTGGGACATGTAACAACAGCTGTCACCACCACAACACCAACACTGCACCACTTCCACGGCATCACCACCATGGCACTATCACCACTATGGCACTACCACCACCGGCACTACCGGCACCACCACCACCACCATAGTACCACCACCACCTATGGCAAGGTAAACGAAATGGGCAGCTCTCATACTCTTTAGACCAAGGGTGCCAGACTTACTGAACCCAAGAGCCACACGATAATTTTCACGTGTTTGAGAGCAGCAAGATATGACCATTTTTATCTTTAATAAATATTTTGACCAAAACAGGAAGGAAAATATGTAAAAAAAAAAAAAAAAAAAAATTAAAGATATTTTAGTCAGATGCCACCTTACAAAATTACACTATAGTATTATCATAACATTATTTGATGTTAAAAAAAATACTGTTTCAGTTATCAGGCTGTTTACTGCTAGTTGAGGTCTTCTGGGTCTCCATCTTGGCCGTGAGTCTTGGAAAATCTGGCTGATATGTTGCCAAGGCTGTACGAATCAGTTTCCTCCAGGTGTTGATCTGTAAGGATTGAACGATGTTTCGACTTACACTTCATTACGGAGTACAGTGATTCGTAGCTGCACGTCGTGCTGAAAATTGAGATGAGTTGCACACTAGTTTTCTTGAGTTCAGGATATGTTATTTCTGGAACTTGCTTCGAGAACTCGACTGTAGACTGAGGTTTAAGAATCAGTTTTAGAGCCAGGTCGTTCTGGAGTTCCATTAGTTCCATTTCCACAACAGATGAATCCGTAACCAGAGGTTTGAGACACACAACCATCACTGATCACATTAACCGTGAATGCAACGAACAGGGAGAAACTCTGTAAAGTTGGGATCACTTTTCAGGAGTGCAATTAGTTCTGCATTTTTCACCACTATTGCAGGTGCTCCATCCTTTGCAACACTGGCAAGTTTATCCAGTGAAACACGTACATTTGTTAAGGCTCTGTCAAGCGCATTTTTATTATCAACACTACAAGTTGTTTCTTTTGATGGCACTAAGTCTAACTTTTCTGTTTTAACAGTTACATCAGAGGAAACATAATGAACAAACATCATCAGTTGTGGAATGTATTGTATATCTGTAGATTCGTCAAGAGCTAAGCTGAATGCTAGAGAATTCTTCAAATAATTTTGCATCTTAAAAGCAACATCAAGGAGATACAAATCTGTAGTATGGCGAGAAACTGAAGTGTGTGCTGTTAGTTTCTGATGTATTGTGTTACCTGGATCTAACGCTACAACAACTTCAGCAATATTTTTCTTCTCATTCTCCAACAGAGTATGGGCGTTTAGCATGAGCATTATTTCAGGTCATACAAAACTAGCTTTATTAGCGTCCTTACTGAAAGTTGTCAGCAGTGTCCGAGTGACAGCAAAGTAGTTGTAGTAGTAGATAACATGAAGCAACACCACCAGATTATTATCATTCACACCGACTCGAAGTCTGCTACGGAGGCATTAAAGAATACAAACCATAAAGGCAATTTATGACTTGTTACTCACGTTCTTAGCACATTGTCAACCCCATGAGACACCAGAAAACATCAACTGGATCCTGAGCCAAGTGGGTGTGGTGATGAGGCAGCTCGCGCCACAAAAGACTATTTAGAGTCACATGTTGATTCCAGGCTGTTACCAGCAGACCAAGAATACTGCGCGACAAACAAAAGTACAATTGATGAGGAAAAATAAGACCTTTTCAGCTGTCACTACCAGCCAGCTGATACCAAAAACGTAAGAGTAAAAACCACCACCTCGTAAAGAAGAACTCATCGGGAGAGGGAAAACTCTTCTACATCGCCTACGACAGGCTAGGTTATGAGTTTGACTGCAGGTGGGAGATGGGCATTGATGTAAACATTGATGACCACAGGTACCAACATGGAGCGCGAGATGAACAACTTGATGACCACAATACCTACTATATTCAGACTATTCACGTACAACCTACATTTAAGCTTAGCAACTTTGTAGTAAGTGCTGGAACGCTGGAAAGTTTCAAAAGGAGGCTGGATAGATCCATGGATGATAGAGAGTGGTAGTAACTCTCGACAGGAGCTGCCATGCACAGGCCAACCGGCCTATTGCAGACTCCTTATGTTCTTAACTTTAGTTAGCTTAACCTAGGTTAACGATTTGAGGCTCATCTACGATGAATTCTTGAAAGAAAAACAGCGAAACTGGGCGAAGAGAACTCTGGTAGTGGGTAGATGCCAGGATGGCAGTCAAGGCTTCGATGATGCCTAAAACGTAGTGATGCTCCACTGTTCGAGTTCCATCAAGGGAGAAAAACACCTAGGGTATAAAACTTCCAGAGTAAACCTCCTATAATTTAAGTTTAATTTGCTGAATTTATCATTTCACCACTTATCAGTTCACTAGCTATTTGTGCGGCTGGTGTGTTGTTTGTTACTATGCTATGAACTTTATTGTCCACTCTTAGTGCAGGAGGAAAGCGGATTACCCTTCCTACGTGTGCCACGAATCAGGACTCGAACCCATGGCATGAGAAGTACGTGCGTAATTACAGTACCCTCAACACCCACAGAACTCCATTGATGGAGCCGTAACCACTATCTTTGCCACGTGTTGAGTGTAGATAAAAAGATACAACTTCACATTAGTTCAGCCTGTGTAGCTGTGCAAGTATACAAACAATGGCAATCAGTATGTCGATGCATCTAAAGAAAGATAAAATTTTGTTCTAGCATTGTCACTCACTTCAGTTTCCCATTAAAATAAAGTATGTATCATTATTTTATGAAACTATTGCTAATTAATATGGTTCATGTGAAAATAATAGACTAACTTAATTTTAGTGCCAGCAGCGTCAATGTTTACATTAGTTACCACCTTCATTTTGATAGAAAACGAAACAATCTTACCTCTAAAAGAAAACAAAAATGCATAAATTTTATAGGGTAACTATATGCTTACTCTATAAATAAATTTATCTCTCAACTGCAGTTGTGCGTTCTGTCGAAGTTATTTTACACTCAGCGATAGGAGAGAGTCTGTCTTACTGCTTTCCATATGCACAAACCACATTCTTATCTAAAAAAAAGACACGCCATTGTTTACTAATTTTATCCTCTACTCCACTGATCGGCCAGTTAACCGCTTCGGCTGTCGTTCACGTCTCTTATTAACGAGTACCTGGCATGTACTGGCTTAAGAATGAATCTGTACCTGCGTTAATGTTGGTCAAGTCTGGTTTTGAATGAGATTACACTCGGTAACGTCATAACATTATCTGGCAGGTTGTTCCAGAGTTCTCAACTTGCACTCCCAAAAAGTTTCACCGATAATTTTTGACCTTGTGGTTTCTTTAACCTTAACCTATAAACCCTAGTGGGACGGCCATCTGCTAGCTTCGGGAGTGAACATTCGACAGAGTAATGCCCTCTGAGATTTTTATAAACTCCAATTAAGTTGCCCCTTGCAACTTCCGGCTAGGGCCGGAAGCAATTGCAAGTGTTCTATTCTCTCTGGGTAACTGAGGTTCCGTTGTGCAGGCACCAGTCTGGTGGGCCTCCTTTGGACATTTTCAATCAACTGACAATCTAGCACAGTGGTTCTCAACCTTGTTTGCCCCATGCACCCCTTTCACCATATGTCAGAATGTCATTCCCCCCTCCTTTCCAAGATTGTCTGTCTCAAAAAGTGCATTCCAAATAATATGCATATAATACTGAAAATCCTTTATTTTTTTCCATATTAGTACATATACATTTACAATTTTACATGGATTATTTTTATAGTGGAGTTTTACAAATCAAATGCCAATTGAAAATGTTGATGGATTTATAAAACTTGAATAAAAGTAAAATAGTTTTTTTTTATTATAATGAATTACTTAACAGACCAAACTGAAGCATAATGCAGTAAACAAAAAGTTCAATAGAATACCAGGATATTGTAAATTTGTAATTAATTTTATTCAGATGAAGATTACAGTCAATGAGAAACCTGTGATTGTTTTTTCTTCGCCAATTCTGGGATACACGGAGGAGTGCTTGAAAGGGCACAACGCAGGTCATTTTCTACCTCTAATCTACTACGTTGCTTCGTTTTAATTTGCAACAGAGTTTAAAAGCCTGACTCACAAAGATATGTCGACACAAACGGAAGCAATGCACGGATAGCTCTTTCTGCCACTTTTGGGTAGGAATCGCACATCAAGGGCCAAAATTCTGTGATTGATTTCTCATCGAACATATCTCTTGCTCCCGAATCAGTTTCCCCCCCCTGAAAACCTGAATTCCCCCCTGGGGGGAATTCCCCCCCTGGTTGAGAACCCCTGATCTAGCACATCTCGGGGACCAGACGGGAACTCCAAATGACGGAGCACCTCACTCTTGAAGAGCGTTACGAGGGACGGACCATCTAGGTATCTGAACTATCTTATTATAAGACCACAAGCTTGGTTGCTTGATTAAAATCCTATTTACAATGGTTTGAGAACTTCAGTTCGCTGTCAACATACACACCCAGGTCGTTTTCACATTCGGTCTCTGTTAATGCTGTTTCTCCATCTCATTATGACATGTGATACGCCTCCTCATTGTTGCTACGACCTAGGTGCATCCTCTTACACTTCGTGGCATTGACTCTTAGCAGCCATTTCTTCCATCATCTTTGAAGCTGACACAGATATGTAGCTCTTCACAGTCCATTTGGTTCTTAATATTCCTGAATAACTTGGCATCGTCCACAAACCTTTGTATGAAAGAGTGTATAGCTTCTGGCATGTCATTTATGAAACAAAAAACAAAACAATAGCGAGCCCAGTACGCTGCCCTGTAGTAGTGTAGTACCCCACTTATCACGGCTGCACTTGACGATTTCATGTCATTAAATGCAACACATGGCTTGCGGCCATGAAGAATGTCTCCCATCCATGCTAGGACGCTCCCCCGAATTTTGTACCCTTTCAGTTTAATTTTCAGCTGTCGAAAGCCTTGGCAGAGTCCAGATATATATTGTTGATATTACCACCATGTTCCAGGATCTGAGTCCAAATATCCAGCACCCTAAGTAATTGTGTCATGCAAGATCGTCCCGGCATAAAACCATGTTGCCACTTCTTTACAAAGTTGTTTCGAAGTAATTTTCCATCATGACATCTCACAATGCTCTTTAGTACTTCACACACTATGCTGGCCAAGCTCACCGACTTATAATTATCCGTGGAGTGATGCTCTCCTTGTTTGAATATTGGACTTACATTTGCCATTTTTCAGTCATTAGGGATTTTTTGCTAATCCAAGCATTTGCAGAAAAGGGTGTTAAGGAGCTTAACAAATTCGTTGCGCAACTCTCTGAGCACTCTGGAATGTATCATGTCAGGATCAGCGCTCTGAGGAACTTTTAGCTTTGACAAATGTTTATTTTACACTCTTCTGAGAACATAATATGCATCAATGTTGTTTCAAACCGTCTTTCCTCTAACGCAGGAAGATTATTTGCATCCTCTCTTGTGAATAATGATGATCTGACTCTGAGTAATTACCATCTTCAAGACTCATATCTGATGCGCCCACGCGTGTCTTTACTTTTGATTTTGTATAATGGTTAGAAATCCTTTGGGTCTTAGTTGACCTTGCTAGCAATCCGCCGCTCGAACTCTTTTTCAGCCCTTTTACATTCTGACTGTGCTTGGTTCCTGGCATACATCCTTCTGTCCTGCTCATCATTTTTGGCCTTAGGTATATATATCTATAAAAGTAAACTTTGCTGGCTATGGTATTCAGTGTAGTATCTATGTTCTTGTTCCTTAGTGAGTCAGGCCAAGCCAGGCCCCTCTAAAAATTTGATCCTGACCTGCTCTTATTATGAATCAAGTAACAGTTAAATCTGAAGGACAACGTCACATGATGGTTGGTTCCAATTTGGCTACCATACACTTCTCGTTAGTTATGATGAGGTCCATCGATTTGGATGTTTGTCTCCTCTATAGGGAGTCGGATATTTCACATATTGAAATATGAAATTGTCCTTCAGAATTTCTACAGAAAGAGTAGCGGGCTTATTAAGGTCATTTGTGTGATTTCATTCCTCTAGTCGATGTCGCCATTGTTAATTCTCCATGACAAGGAGGTGACTGAGGGTTAAGGGCCGTTACGTAGTCAATTAAGGCTCTTAAGTTCCTTTGGTTTAATAAGCTACAATTTGGGGATCTTTAGATATGTCCAACAGAGAGTAAAGTCTCTCCCCTTTAGTTTAATTTTGCACCACTTCGATTCTTCAAAAACCTCTTCCCCTGTACCATCACCTGGCTGGTTTGTGTATACTCGAATATACCTGAAAAATATAAGGGGCACTGCAAATATCAACTGGGCATTGAAAGTGTAGGGACATATAAAGTGTAAGGGCACATAATTATAATGTAGGAGCACTGAAAATATAGGAGAACGATATAAATTCTGAAATTGATGGTCAATCAATCAAGGTCGAAGGGTTAGCTACCATAGCCCTCCACTCCAAACATTCTGATACTGATATTGAAACAGTTTATTTGGTCAGGAAATACAGATACAGAGAGGAAAATAATAACAATGTTGACATGGCTGAGCCAGTTGACAGGTTGAGCCCGCTTAGTGGCACCTGATATATACTGTGCATTTATCTGAAGAATTACTAAAGAATAATAATTATTAATATTAATACATGTAACATGGCGTTAGTAAATACATATGCGAAAGTTACCGTGATTGTTAAGTTTTATATATTTATTTATTTATTTATTTATTTATATTTTTCAATATTTTTTTTTTACATTTTTATATTATAAGTATATATATGTTTTACAGTGGAGTTTATATGCAGCAATCTTATAGGTGAGGGAGCAATACAACATGGGTTGAGTTAGGGTGAAACAAAAGGACAGACACAGTCAGGATAATGACTTGACGGCAAATAATTATTGCAATGGTAATTTCTATCTACGTGACAATATATGATAAAATGGTTTTGGTTATATATATATATATATATATATATATATATATGTATATATATATCGGCCAGGGGGTTGATAATATTCAATGTTTCATTCGCCGGACGCCAAAGTTATTACCTCGGGTGGGGGCTAATTTCATGCCTGAATTTGTGTGGAATAATACAATATGAAAATCGCCGCGACATAAACCCCTGATGAAAATTTCCACTGTATCAAACACTACTATTAAGATAAACTTTATCTATGTCCTGGAGTCTGGTTGACCCTCAGATAGACACGGCTCTTGATCACTTTTTTCGTTTTTAGCATCAGTGGATTCATTTTTTTGTAGTCTGATGGGGCTGATAGAGGGTCGAAATTATGTTTGATTAGTTGAACGAACACTGTATTTGATATACGTATAAACAATAATACTGTATAGAGGATATAGTATATAGTGACGTATTTCACTATTCATGAAAATAGAAACACGAAGGATACAAAATTACCTTTCTTCTTTCTTTCCAGAAAGTTCAAGTTGGGCGATGGTGTCTGGGAGGTTCGCACCTTTAGTCTCCTTCATCGTGGTCAGCGACACCGATGCCAGGATCGACATTGTCCCGAATACGACCGACGGTAGCCAGGGGATCACAGGACCCTGAGGAGGAAGTACATGGTGAGTAGTTCGACAAGGCAAAATGAGGAGGACAGAAGGCATGGATCAGAACTTGGACAGAATTATGGAAGAACTGGTAAGAACAAACAACTTGGCGCTACTGTAATAACTGATAAAGCTACAGCTACTCACTTGATGACATGACGCTGCCTAACTTACACAGTGAACGCTAACGATGGAAACAATCACACTGATAATAGACCCATCATATTACACAGTAACACTACAGCAATGGTCGCCACACTGAAAGTGGTTGGTGTTGAGAATTGTTTCACACCAAATTTGCACAGTTGATAAATGGGTGATTATACATTATGGAAAAACTCTTAACCCCCAAACACACACATAATTTAAACTGCTTCAGTGTTTGTATCTCTTCATACTCCAGGTATAACTTATTTCCCATAGTGTCAACACAGAGGAACAATCACCAGGTATATGCTGATGAAAGGTACGATGATGGCGGCCACCTGACCCACAGCGCTGCCAGTCTCCACTCCTTGAACCCGTACCTCGGTGGGGAAGACCTCGTTAGAGTAGACGTAAATGATCTGGAAGGCCGCGGAGATGAACATCTTGCCTAACAAAGCCAGCGTCATCATCAACTGCCAGTGTCCTGGAGAAGCAGATCTGAGGTAATATGTCCAATTACTGAAACTCTTTTACATTTGTGTTTGTTTTGCAGAAACCTGCTATATAGAATATATTTATATGATTTAATATATACATAAGTTATTTAATAATGCCTAAGTAAAGTTAGCCAACGACACTGAAATTATTCAAATATATAGACATGTTTTTTTACTTACTTAACACTTATCCTTCTTTGAGGAGATAGTCTACTAATCCCTTGCGCACGGGGTCCCCTTTGAGCTGAATAAAATCGTCTGGCGTTAGCAAAATAAAATATTAAAAGTGCCGTCCTCGTAATCGAGGGTTAATGTGATGGGTTTGTTGCTGCAGATTTCTTTAAGAACTGTAGTAATGCTCGTCAGTTGTAGACGTATATCTGGCGATGTATTCAATGTATTATTATTATTATTATTGTTTGTAGCCTCACACATATAGGCTGTTGTGAAGAACATGATGTTTCAAAGCTTTCATAATATCGAAATATTGTCCTAAGAGTTTTACCAAAAAGGCAAAAGAGAGTCCTTATCAAACAATTCCATAAACTAAACTTTTTTCCTTTTAGTGAGAGTTTGCTCACTTGCAGCTCTGAATCAGTTACTGGATTGCACAGCTGTGTTGGGGGTCAGGCTATTTGGAAAAATACACTCTGAAAGTATTTCTAAATTATTAAAGTTGTTGAATTATGTTGTCTCTTGTGTTTTTATACAATGTCACGTCATTCTATATTTGGAAGCCATAAAGAAATAAAAAAATAAATAATTTTTTTTTTTGAGAAATCGATCCCCAAATTAATCTTAAGTAGGTTTGATTCAATTTTATCTTAGAGACTCAAAATGTTGATATTCGGGCATGGCAGTGACAAGTTCACCTTATTTAATCGTGAAAATGTATCTATAAGATAGGCCAGTTTCTTAAGCCAGCCATCAAGGGTAAATTTAGATGACAGAGAAAGTGCTGTCCCATCAAAAATAATCTCGTCTCATCTCGCAGTCCACATACACGAGAAAATACTTTATTTTTTCCCGTAATAACCAACGCACCTCTGTGTATAATAATAAAACAGTATTTTATAGAACTCATCTCCTGGGACAGAATCAAGGGGTCTAGCTTTAAAATAATTTGAAACCTTCATGACTTTAGAAAATACTACTTTGACTTCTTCAGACATCTTTTTCACAGCTAGAGTTGTCTACCATGTACTGCAGATACAACGTTTCTCATGAGAGCTAAGACAGTACACCTTTTACTGGGTCTGCCATAGCGTTGCACCGTCAGAGCAAATATTTGTACTGAGATCCTACCCGAGATAAAGTTTTTGCATAAAAGTGTCTAGTAAGTTATTGTAAATATATCATGCCCCTTTTGTAGTAGTTTTAATAGATGGGCAGAACTGAAAGCTTGTCAAAAAATTTGGCGTGAAAACACAACCAGTATAGCTAACCCTGCTATATCACTCGACTCACTAACACCGCTTCACGAAACTCTGTGTCGCCACGTGACCAGTGATACCAAGTGATACTGGTGAGGGAGAAGATACTGGTGACGGAAGTGACTGTTGACAGGAGATAAAAAAAGACAGGATGGACAGGAGGTGACAGTGATGGGCCTCACCTGTGGGTATAAAAGTCAAGGTGAAGAGCATGATGCTACAGCAGACGAAGCAGACAGCCAGACTTCTCTTCCTGCCATAGCGGTTGACGATAGGGACGGAGAGTGTGCACCCAGGGAACTCCATCAAACCCGCGAATATCAGGTACAGGAATATGTTTTCACTATACAGGTCACCGCCGAGATTGAGTCCGTCAAACACAAGAGCCGCAGAGAGGAAGAGGAAGCAAACAGCCACGGTGATGGTGATGATCTTTCGAGTGCTAAGAAGAGGTGAACAAAGGATTAATTTACAGTATGAGTGTGTTTTATGTCAGTTATTTTTTTTTTTTTTTTTTTTTTAGAGTTTAAGGAAAAGTTCACTAAAGTGTATGGTATTTTGTGACGGCTTACCACACCAGAAAGATTAACTAATTATCTTTCTCTTTGTTTATTCTCAATCTTGTGTTCATTTCTTTCATATTTGTCTATATACTTCCCTGTTTCACTGTATATCTGCTTATTACTCACTTATCTAACTTATATTTTTTTTACAACTTCATGCTAGTTTAAACAGTTGGCATTGTGTTTTACTTACCGTCATACTAAACATGTGAAGTTTGTCTGTGTTGCGCGCGATAGGTATAATTATGTGGGACAAGTTTCTCAGTGACTTGTGAGTTATCATATTCCGTTTGGTTGTTACCAACAGTCAATACGCTACAAAGAGAAAATTCCAGCAATATTATTCTATACTGGTATAAGTAACCCATTACAGAAACACTCCCAATTAAACTGAAACCGGGTGTCTTAAGGTGAATACAATAAATTTTCGGAAGCAGTACAAAAAATACAGTATATATGAACCTATGTGAGGCAAAAAAGAAAAATTGTTGAAAAGTTATGGATTATTACACTCATCTGGGAACATCAGTGAACACCCACATTAATGTTCATTGGAACCTGTCAGTTCATTTTATCTGAGTCTTCTTCACTCTCTTCACACCACCCCCACTCCCCTCACACCTCCCCCACTCTCCTCACACCTCCCTCAGTCTCCCCCACTCTCCTCACACCTCCCTCAGTCTCCCCCACTCTCCTCACACCTCTCTCAGTCTCCTCACACCTCCCCCACTCCCCTCACACCTCCCTCAGTCTCCTCCCCTCTCCTCACGCCTCTTATCAGTTTCCCTCACTCTTCTCACACCTCCTTCAATCTCCCTCACTCTCCTCACACCTCTCTCAGTCTCCTCACACCTCCCCCACTCCCCTCACACCTCCCTCAGTCTCCTCCCTCTCCTCCCGCCTCTTATCAGTTTCCCCTCCTCTTCCACCTCCTTCAATCTCCTCCTCTCCTCCACACTCCTCCAGTCTCCTCCACCTCCCCCACACCTCCCCCCCCCACACCTCTCCTCCCCTCCCACTCCTCCCTCGCCCACTCCCCTCCCCCCACCTCCCCTCCCTCCCCTTACCTCCCCACCTCTCCCCTCACACCTCTCCCACTCCCATCACACCTTCAGTCTCCCTCACTCTCCTCACACCTAACTCACTCCCCTCACACCTCTGTCTCCTCCACTCTCTCTCACTCTCCTCACACCTCCCTCACTCCCCTCACACCTCTGTCTCCCTCACTCTCCCTCACTCTCCTCACACTGTAGCCTCTGTCAACATATAGACAGAAGAACTTATGTAAATTTGGGCTACTTATACATATAAATTGTATAAATTCACTAACCCAGCGTAAACGGACTATGAGCAGTGCTTAGACGCTTAGACACAACAAAAATGCAATTTCCCTTGTCTGTGACTCCTTGTTACATAACTCGATGACTGTCACTGACCTCCACTTACTACTGGCTGTGCGTCATATTAACTGACTGTCTTTATGCCTCAGATCATCCAGATAATTATAGACGCCAGACGTGTGTCACATGAGGCTCAGATCTCGGCCTCTTATAGCCTCGCTTTAACTACATGCTCATATTGTAGGTACATTGTATTTACTCTCACTCATAGTGGCACTATATTTTTAAATAAGTAAGAACGCCATATAGTGTTTGTGTGAACTTTAAGCACTCTGACACAAATATAAACAGAGATTACAAGGAACTCTAACTACATAAGTTACAAGTGTGGCGATGGTAAAAATAAACATTCCAAGGTCTCATCACACGATTACATTAACGTGAGCTAATGGATTACTAATCATATCCAGTTCATAGGTGACGAGTAGATGGGGATACCTGCCATTCCACAACTAGTTACCGTACATAGGTGGTAACCGGTGGGGTAATTACATAAGTATCTGCGGTGGGAAACCGTTAGTTACAACACCACCCTCGGTCTCCTTCACTCTCCTCACATCCCTTACACACACACACACACACACACACCCCGCACGATGTCTCACACCACGCGATGTCTCCCACACACACCACACGATGTCACACACACACACACACACACACACACGCTGTCACACACACCACACGATGTCTCAGACACACACACGCCACACGAAGTCTCACACACACATACACCACACGATGTCTCACACACACACACACACACACCACGCGATGTCTCCCCACACACACACCACACGATGTCACACACACACACCACACGATGTCACACACACACACACACCAAACGCTGTCACACACACACCACACGATGTCTCAGACACACACACACGCCACACGAAGTATCACACACACACACACACACACGCCACACGATGCATCACACACAGACGCCACACTAATAGTATTATTTTATCTTCGTGCGGTGTTAGAATCATGCTTACAACAACCTTGTAGCTAGATTATATCTTTACAGCGGCAAACTATCAACTCAAAAATTAGTTTAAAACCTTCAATAATAGTTGGAAGTCAAAGCATTGGAGCGAAAACTATAACATTGATGCGACCTTATTGATAACTTTCCCTTGATTAGCAATGGACTAAATTCTCACTTGTATTTGAAGCTGCTGGCGGGGCACAGCCCACAGAGTTCAAAGAGTTCGCCCCAAAGACTAAACCCCAACAACTACCCTTCGACCTTTTAGCACGACAAGCCAACCTAAGCCTTTAAAGCAGTGGCTTCCAAACTGGGGGCCATGGCCCCCCAGCAAAATTTAGGGGGCCATAAGCTGAGGCTATGTACACATAAAAATCCCAAGCCCCACCACACTAGAACAGCCAGTCAGCAGCTGAGCCAGCCAGAGATATGGATTGGGAGAGGGGGGCCATGGATAAGGATCATATATGAAAAGTGGGTAATGATCAGAAAAAGTTTGGGAACCACTGCTTTAAAGGAACGGTAAGTCCACTGGCTGATGAATTTCATGTCATAGATGCTTCCTTCACTCATAACGAACCACAGCAGAACAGCCCTTGCCGTCTACTCACTGTAAATAGCAAGTTGTATGTTTACTTTATGTTCTCCCATGTAACAGTACAATATTACCCATGTTACTGTTCAGTATATAGTATATCAAGTCATTTGTGTCCACTGCATATTTTCAGCCTTTTGGTTGTTGCACTTTTTTCAATAATCCATAAGTAATAATAATAATAATGATAATAATCATCATCATCATCATAAATATTTTTATTATTATAAATATTTTTATTATTATTATTATTATTATTATTATTATTATTATTATTATTATTATTATTATAGACGCACCTCAGTAGTCTTGGAGCTGTGAGGTTGCCACAGCTCACACTGTCGCCTGTGTCACCTTGACTCTTCCTCTCTGTACCCGCTTCCTCCTCCTCCGTGTTCTGAGAAGATAAAAATTTATTTAATAACCGTCTTGTGTGCTCACGTGTGCGTGCATCTACACACGTGTGAGTGTGTTGTAACTCCGGGCTCCGTATTTTGTTTTCATGGCATTAAAGAGAAAGTGAAGTTTTTACCTTATGAAAGTCTTCAGGTCTTGCCTTAGTGTGTATACATTGAAAGTATGAGGTATATTCCCAGGGTTTTGGCGAATACATTTCAAAAAGGTTGAGCCATTCGACATACGCAAGTATGCGTTGCGTTGTCTGGTTTTCACAATACTTCGGCCAAAGTTGGAAAGATACTTCATTCTCTCACTGTACAGTACAGTCGTGAACAAAAGTTTGCAGACACCTGAGCCTTTGAGATTGCGTGCTTCTCTATGAGTAGTTTTTGGTGTGTGTGTGCGTGCTTGTAGGTTTACGTGTGTCCATGTGTGTGGACAGATGTACTGTACTGTACAGGTTATATCGGTTATAATTACTCACGTAATCTTTAATATTTCAGTATACTCGACAAAATACAATTATATTCCACGTATGATAGGTCTCTTAAGTACTACCAATCGTATGAGAAACGAATGATGAACTTAAGTCCAACAATCGAAACGATAGTAGAGAGGAAGTGTGTGTGTGTGGTCATCATACTCGCCTCGCACGCCAGAGGTCTCGGGTTTGATCCCAGGGCAGGGTGAAACATTGAGCAAGATTCTTTACGCCATTTGCCTCTGTCTACCCAGCAGTAATTAGAAACCTGGAAGTTAATCGATTTGCCGATCGTTTTCCAGGGTAATGGGTTAGCCACTGTATTTGGCGAGTTGTCCAGTCTTCTCGGACTATTCCTTGACAATGGGTCGTGCAGCTCGTTAACTTAGAATGTGTATGTGCGTTTGTATGTGTGTACGTGAGGGTGCAGTGCCCGTGACTCTGAAAGGAAGGTTGTCTGCGCCTGATACTGAAAATTTATTAACCTGCTTGTTTTTTCAGTGTTCCCCCCTAAGGTATTTCTTCTTTTTATATAAGATTGGTGGCTTTTTGAAAAAAAAAAAAAAAAAATCCACTATTATGTTTATTAATATTCTGGGTAATTTACAAATACACAGTTAAATATTTAAACAAGCATTTGGTCGTTCAGTATCATAAAAGGTTAAACATTCGCGTTACATTACAGTGTTAATTAATTAGTTTGATGTCCATACAACCGTATGCTTCAACAGCTTCATTATTGCGTGTTGATATTGACCTACCAAACGGCGTCAGATGTTTGTCTGGTCTCAGGAACTCCCATACCTCTTGTGGATTGTTTTCTATAAGTTAAGTGTTGTGGGCCTCCCCTACGTCACACCTCCGACACAAGATAGCCCACTGGTTCTCGATGGGGTTTAAGTCACACCCTTTACTTGTTCAGTCAACCAACTCTATTTCAGGGTGATGGGAGAGCCAGTCCGTAACTTTATTATTTACATGAACATAACTCCCGCCATGTACCAATCTAACTGGGTTTGGCTGTGGGATCGCTATAGCTTGCACTGTTGGCAGCAGCACATCCTCCAATATTTCATCATAATATGTTGTTGTAAACCTTCCGTCCAACTGCACTAGCTCCCTAGTCGTACGCCTACATTTACACCCAAAATGAGGAGCCGACTCACCCACTTTCTTGAATATGGTGCTCCCTTAGTCGTGTATATTACATTAAAAGTCGAAAGAAACAAGAAAAATTTTATAATTACCGCTTGTCGTTTTATCTGGGACATGATAGTCTTCAACTCGTACTCGGACGGGAGACTCGTTTTGTTCCAGCGGGCAGCCTTTTCCAGCACCTTCTGGGCACGACTGGCATGACCCTGTACTATCAGCCAGCGCGGGGACTCATCTAGGTAGCTGAAACAGAAAGCGTCTCAATATCAGACAGAATGCTGTGGATAACACTACATTACAGTGTAAAGGCGGCAGTCATACACGTAGGAACATAAGAGCATAAGAATGGAGGTAACTGCAGCGGGCTTATTGGTCCATACTGGGCAGTCCCATTTACACCCAACCCCTATTGCTCATATATCCATCCAACCTATGTTTGAAGCTATCCAGCGTATTCGAGTCAGTAATGATGTTTGATAACTTGTTCCAGTCATCCACTACTCTATTTCCAAACCAATGTTTACCTATTTCGCGCCTAAATCTAAATTTATCTAATTTAAAACCATTGTAACGAGTTCGCTCCTAGTTGGATAGCTTGAGTACCTTTATTATATCACATTTGCTTAACCCTGACTTCCATTTAGAAACCTCGATCCTTAGAGATTGGTAATCATCATAGGTACTCACTAGAGGTTTGTACTCATCACATGTACTCACTAGAGGTTGGTACTCATCACAGGTATTCACTAGAGGTTAGTATTCATCACAAGTATTCACTAGAGGTTGGTACTCGTCACAGATGCTCACTAGATGTTGGTGCTCATCAGAGGTACTCATTAAAGGTTGGTACTCATTATAGATACTCACTAGAGGGCGGGGAACATGAGGACGGAAGGTAAGGAGGCAGCCAGCTGCAACCACCGCCAGTCACGGATGGCGTAGGCAGCGCCGCCCCACAGCATCGTTCCCAGTGCCCACGGCATCCCGGTCAGGATGCCCATAGTTGCCCTGTGCCTGGGCTCACACACCTCCAGCGCTGAGAGAGGAAAGTTCACTACACTAGCACCTATTGTTACATATCTGTATAGTGCTTCACCAGCTGTTGTGTGATTATGTGTATGTAGTAGATTAACAGGTGTTTTCACATGTGTAAGTCGTAGTAAAACTTGAAACATATATACTGTTCTTATGTATCAACTCACAGGATAAATGAATATACTTTGTGTTCATAATCATGTTAGTTATTCACACCTAAACACAGGTAATAAGAATGGGGCACTGTATCTGACTCGTGTTGACCAAGATTTATAGTACTTACAAGGTGCGTTAGTTCTGTGAAAACCGTACATGTGTAGTGTTGCGACATTCTTGATGTTACCATTTAGAGCTTTGCGATATTTTGCGATGTCCCAAAATAACTCGATAACGTGGGTGTGGATTGCACCCTCTGTTGCCCTGGCCATGTTACAGTGATGTTGTTCCATGTGCTTTTGTGTGATGTTATGTAGAGCTATGTGATGTTATGCAGCAAATTGTGACGTCATGTGTTATTATGTCATACTATCTGATATGTGATGTCATAACACAATACGATGTTCTAGGAAGATATATTAATGTCATGCCATATGGTGTCATGTGATGTAATGTTACGTGATCTGATATACTATTGATCGTTATATGACGTACATGAGGATGGTAAAGTTATTTATTATCTGGGGTGCCAGTGATGCACTTTACTACCCAGGGGTAAGTTTGATCACTGAATGGCGTCCTCAAAGTCACAATGATTTAACGCAGTCATTCGAGGCTGTAAAAAGACTGGCTGAGACGCTTAGATTCTATGAGTATCTTCGTGAGATGACTTACCAGGGATTTTACCTAGGAGGAGATGATTATCCCTGTGAAGATAATTGTCTTTGGAAGGGACTTACCTCTATGAAGGGACTTTCCTATGAGCAGGGGCGATCTGTATGAGGGTAATTACCTAGGACGAGGTGAATGAGTAGCTCGGAGCAGCCTATGATGAATCGTAGGAAGAGGATGGTGGAGAAGTTGTGCAGGAGACAGAGCCCCAGGGAGGCTGCTGACACGACGATCTGCGAAACCACGTAGACGATCTTTCTCCCAAACCTAAATCGACGTGAAAATGTCAGTTATTCAACTGCTGACAAAATTAAAAAATAAGTGTTGCCGCAGTAGGATAAACTAGAAGAGAGAGAGAAAGAGAGGGATAGAGAGAGAGAGAAAGGGAGACAGGAGAGAGGCAGTGAGTATTTACAACGAACTTTGCTGAGGTGGTAAATGTGAAACAGATGGGCCTCGCCTCGGGGCTGATTAACTCGCTCCCTGTGGGGTTCAGGAGATAGTCTCTAGCAGTCCAGTGAGCTAACAAGTCCGGGAGCTAATAAGTCCTACATTAGACCCGAAACACGTAAGTTTTTATGTGGTTTAACACTCCACTCTACTCAAATATATCATATGTAGTTGTTAATAGTGAAGGAACGTACGAGTGAATTAATTATCTCATATGTAACATATGTAATTTGTACTCTGTAGGTTTTGACCGAATAAAGAACAATCGAGTCCTACATGCAAGGGTCTCATTATCCCACAGTCGCTCATCGGGCGGTTACAGTAAGGATAATGTATAATGAGCGGTGAGAGTCTACTATGGAATGGAGGAAGTGAGGTGATCCAGGTACAGTCTCACCCAAAAGTTCATTAACTCTCCCAGCCAGCTAATGCTGCACTTCCTTCTTCAGATGTTTGAAACTGTCTCAGTACCAACCAGAACATGAAACCGATACGAATGAATCCAAAGGTTCGAAGTAACATACTCACGTTCAAACATCTGAAGCAGACAGTACAGCAATAGCTGGCTGGGAGAGTTCACGAACTTTTGGGTGAGACTATACCAGTAACTAGGAGTGGATGTGACAGTGAATCCATTAATGGTTGATACAGAGAAGGTAAGATATAAGTTAGAAATGTATCATGTATAGAAGGATAGAAATATATCAAAAGGTAAGAGCTGGGATGTGTCGGGGTACACTTGAGTCGACGATATTGTACGGGTGTGAAGCATAAGGAAATATTGAAAAGAAAGAGGACAAGGGTTTGTTGTGAAGATGAGAAGTGGAAGATTGGTACAACGGATGAATAACTCTGGAGCAAATGATAAAACGGGAGAGAAGACCGAGAGAGAAGTGAGAGGATGGTGTGTGTTTGTGTGTTTGCAATCTATTGTGTAGAGTGGTTTGTGGTGATAGGGTGTTGCTGATGCTTGAAATAAGTAATGAAGCAACAAGATTAGACCTAATAGAAAACTTGGGGGTCTTGTTGAGAACATTTTAGGAATCAGTCAGTCAAATATGTCATATTAATGGCCATGTGCAGTAAAGCTTTGTACATATATGAGGAGAAGCGAATAAAGGCAAAAATATCTAACTAATAAAGTGACTTGCCAAAATGAATAGCTAAGAAGATTCAAATAATGTTCGTTTTGATTCCTTGCCATTCAACATTGATGAAAGATGAATAAATAACGTTATTTTATAGCTTATCATACTTTTCTGCCAGTTTAGTAGTGAATGAATAAAGATTCACAACCCCTCCCGTCCCATCTCTCATCCTACTCTTTTTCTTCCCCAAAACGTAGACAATATTCGTACCTGTCAGCGAAGTAGCCGCACACCAGTGGACCCACACAGGTACCCAACATGTATACACTCTGGTAGGTGGGGCGAAGATACTCCCTCTCACATACCAGTTCGAACTACGGCAGACAGGTACCAGGAGCCCAGAGAAAGAAGATAACGTCATCAAGTTGTTGTGCAGGGACTACACTCCTCTATGTTTTCTCCTCGGTAAAACTTGTTGGCTACGCCCTCTAAACTGCCTCTCCCTTTCCCTTAGTGACCACGTATTACAAGAAATGTTTCAGTTAGATGGGTTTGTTGTTCAGTTTCTTATTCTCCTGTTTTAGATACAACACAATCCTCTTTGTTATATGTCGTTGTGAAGAATTTTCTGGCAATGTATTTTGATGGATAACAATCTCTTCTCTATCTGGAGAACATCTCATAAGAACATAACATAAGAATGGAGGAAACTGCAGCGGGCCTATTGGCCCATACTGGGCAGTCCCATTTACACCCAACCCCGATTGCTCATATATCCATCTAACCCCTACACTTATCTTTGTGGAGAACATCTCCCCCTATACAGTACTTGTCCTTGTGGAAAACATCTCCCTCTACACTTATCATTGTGGAGAACATCTTCCCCTAAACTAGTTCTTACGGAGAAAATTTTTCCCACTTAACCCATATACAGTACTCTTGTCTTCCTGAGAGGTGATCCCCAACTATCCAACTCATCCCAATGGAGACTTCTTTTCCCCTCAGTTTGATTTGGTTGAGATGTTTGTGGCGGCGGCTATTATGTACCTCAGAAGTGAGAGTTGAAGAAAAGACGGACTTATCAAATGTCCACTTAATACACGCCACGTCCTCCAGTCTTCCGGTGGACGTACTGTTTATTACATAGCTGCAGGAGTCACTGTAACCATAGGAAGGTAAACAAGTTTGTTTAGTATGGCTTATGTGTTAATATGGTTCTCTCACTGTTTTTTATGTTGAAAGGCTAAAAGACTAAGATGGTGCCTCAGAAGTAACGTGAAAGAAGTTATCAACAACGACTAAATTAAAATCTGAATATTTCAATTTTATATTTAAACGAAGCATCATTGATGTGTGAGAACGTGATTTGTGCAGACATAATTGACTGAAGGTCATCAAATGTTTCAGACTATCTACCACAGAGATTAAATCATTGTAAATAACTTATTTGAGATGACTAAATTCTTCACGTTTTTCTTCTTCTTTTTTAGCCAGAAAAGAAAGTTTACTTGTAAAATAAAAACTCACTGTTTGACTTCAATGACGTGGTCAACTGTATGCGGCTGACACGTGTAGTTGACAGACGGTGCCAGATATACGCTGCTTAATGACTGACTTGGTGATAGCAGGAACCCTGGCCGGGAAGCACACTACATTACACACACAACTACTATGTTTGGGATGTATATTATGAGTCACAACCAGTCTACAGTTAACAGGAAACCGCAGACGGGGGAGGAATCGTGAATATTGTCAATACAAGACGTTTACACTCCTGTATAATAGCTATGTGGATTATGAAAAGTCCAGAATATCATAATTAAATGCACATCATAATACACTGCAGGATACGTGGCAGCTGACAGAATAACAGTAAGAAACCGAAGGATTGTAATGTACATTTTTAAAGGAAAACAGTTAATTGAGAGGTTAGAGTTTATTAACTGAAGTCTGATCCAGATACAAAAAAGTAAAAAAAGAAAAGATGTTGGAGGGTTGTCTTTAACTTACGGAACGATGACGCGAGGGCGAAGAAAATGTTCCACTTGCCAGTCCCCAGCTGGGTGAGAAGTGCGTCAAAACTGTCAGCCATCACGCCGACGAAGTTTTGAATATCAAGGCAAAGAAACTACACTATTAACCTGAAGCGCAGGGAAATGTAAAACATGAATATACGAGGAAAATAATATTAATGTCAGTTTTCTTTAAGCATAGGTAAAAAAGAAGAAAGAGAAGGATACGACTGGAACAAGACTCCAAGAGACGCTTTCTGTCGTCTCACACACGTTTCTGTAAGTGGTAGGAAGTCTAGTACAAACAAAATATTTCCAAGGTTTCTACTTCTCTGACAATAATATCTAAGTATTACAACGTGTATGAAATGCTGTTGAACACTTTGGTAAAATAAAATCCAGAAGCAGCCTACACGGCACATCAACAGCCAGTCAATCAGAAAATTATACGTTGGTGACGTAATACAGCAGCTGAAATGGGGACGTACAGTACTAACCGATTAAAAGATAAACTCTGTATTTACCTGTGAAACAAGGAAGTATTGGAGTAATTAATGTTTTTTGTAAAGCAACTGCTATATTATTTACAACTTTCATAAATAATGATTCAGGCCATGAAAAGGGAAAATCTTTAAATCCATATTATATAAGAATAAGAACCACTTATTTACAAGATATAAAACCTGAAAATATTTCCTACTTTATTATAGTAATGCAATCAATACCTTGAGAGAGATAGCAAGGCATGAACCCTCTCCCAGTGTTAGAAGTAAAGATGTATACAATATGTTAATGACATGGACTAAACCAGCAGTTGAAGAAAAGTATCCGCTGTTTAAATGTTTTTTTTTTATTTGGAAAAATATTTATTTTAAATACATGGATCCTCACCAGAGAGGCTTTATATACGGGAGGTATATTTATGTAGCTCTACCAACTAATTAGAGACTCAAAAATAAATAGTTGTATAAGAAGTGGTGAGGTAGAATACCCATTACACATAGTTTACTTCTGCTTCCATAACAAAGAGATAATTAAATGGTTTAAAGATATCCTGAATACAATACCAAATTATTTCTGCATTTGTTAATGTTTAACAGTAGTAATAATGTTATATAAGAATACAGTTATTATGCTAATGTTAGATTATATTTACTGTATGTAGATTAGTAGTAAGAAAAATTACAATGTTGATGAGACTAGAGCCGTTATTACAAATTGGATATGTTATAATAAATTCATGATCAAGTGTATTTTAAAAGAAATATCATCTACATACTTCACAGACAGATATATTAATATGTATTATCTGTGTATATATGTAAATTGTGCAATTTTAAATAACATAAAAAGTAACTCAAAGTTGCCAAATATATACTTTTTAATAATACATATCTTCTTCAGGATGATTTTACAATGACACTGGATTGGAATGTTGACTATTGTAGCTTTATCTCCATGTTTAATACGCCCAACTGTCAATATACTTTAGGTTGTGTGGAACCGTGAGGTGATGAATGCACATTAATGTTATTGTAATAAATGTGTTTGCCAACTTTCAGGGTATGTTTTAATGGCAAAGTAATGCAGTACAGGGTATACTAGTAACTAGCAGGGACCCGCAGATAGCGTTAGCCAGTCATACGTACATCCTCCATAATATGAGATAGCGTTAGCCAATCAAACCACTTGTCTGAGAGAGCGTTAGCCAATCAAACCACTTGTCTGAGAGAGCGTTAGTCAATCGCATCAATAAGATAACTAACGTTAGCCAATTATACCACTTTCCTGTGATAGTATTAGCCATCATTCGAGTTCATGGTATCACATAAATGTGTTGTCACTTGCGACTGCCAACTGAAGCTGGCAACGAGATTCAGGGGTGGTTGGGGGATAGATGCTGGGCACGTCACCCCACCCCTCCCCTCCCCTCCCCCCCCACTCTGCTTTGTCTTGTGGCAAACGTAATTATAAAGAGCACCGCGTGTGCCTAAAAATACTGTATATAAAAAAGGGTCCATGGACCCCCAAGGGGTCCGTGAAGGTCAGATAAAAATTTAACATTTATATTCACTATATTTTTATATTAAGTTGTTCAATTTTTGTCAATATATACCAGATGTTATGTATGTAGTTTTGGTTACTGAAGAAAATCAGTAAATCTGTAGGGTGGCATGGGATGCTACTGTACACAGTCAGGTAACATACAATCGTCAGCGTCGTCAGGTTTTGACTTCTAAAATGTTTACTTTATTCATACTTTGTGTATGTCATACACTGTATGAGGCAATGAATTTTCAATAAAATAAAGTTGTGTTTATGTGCTTATGTGCATTTTTCTAGGGAGGGGGTCCATAGCTTTCACCAGATTCTCAAAGGGGTCCGTGACTCAAAAAATGTTAAGAACCACTGGTTTAGAGGTTGTTGTTGCGTCCCTCCTGTAAGAAATTTCTGCCTCCACCTTGTTTCCCCATGGTTGACGATCCAGGAGTCTGACACGCGCTGAAAAATGAAAGTTATTGGGTTTCGCCAGCACGGTGTCAGCCTTTCCTGTCCTGAGTGGGTGTTTTTTCTGTGTGAGGGATGTTTTTTCGTGGTGCCTTGGTCAATTAATTCTTTATTTATATTAATTTGTATATTACTTAACTATGGAGGATGGAATAATGCAAATCAGAAATAAAAATATACGTGAAAAAACATACACTACTTAAAAACAGGTTGTGTAAATTTCATAATCAGGATTCTCAAAAGTTCTAAAGTTCAGTTTTCCTCGTAACTGGAGAAGAATAATCGCACTTGAACACTAATTTTAACCTGGGCACAAGAATAATGCGAAAAAAAATATCATTAAACTACACTGAGACTTTACGATAACTAGAATCAATCGCTTAGTTAACAGACAGAGGATAACTAAACATAAACTGTCAAAAATTACGTCAAAATAACAGTTAACCGGATATATTCACTTAGCAACAGCCGGGAACAAAATTAACACGTAAAATATCTAAGCTATTCTGAGACTATAACGAGATATATTAATCAGCATCAACAAAATAAACGCTTGAGATTACGACTTGAGATTACGATGAAGATTGATAAATACGTAGTAAAATCACTATAAGCACTTGGCCAAATATACACCATCACACGAGATGACAGTGACGCAACAGCTACACATTTTCCATTTGAGGATGATGACTTTAATCATCGTCATCACACGTTACGAGTCAGAGTGGCTGTCAGTGTAATAACGTCAAAAAGGTGAGTTATTAGATGATGTTGCAGGTATCAGAAAAGGACCGGTGAGGGGTATCCGTGGGAATGTTCAAGTAATACTCACACACGATTCACCCTCACTGAAGTTACCACATACGACAAAATACAGATAAAATAAGTTTCTTCGTTAACATAAGACACACAACAGTAACGGGTCACAGGTTGATGGATATACGTGTGTAGATTGGCAGAGTGTTGCGGGGTATGAGCCAAGCCACTGTACTGGAGGTGTGCTTGCCTACCGGTCTCAGGACCCCGACGATGCTCCCTGCCTCCCTTGCTCCTCACACACGTGTAGCTCCCACGCCGGGGGAGAGGGAGAGGGGGACAAGGGGAGGGAAGAAGGCAAGGGGGAAGGAAGGGGGCTCGGGAGGAGGGGGAAGCTGTCGAAAAGATGAGCATTGCCAAGAGAGAGATAGAGATAGAAATATACCGATTCTTCCTGTTAGTCATGATAGTCAGAAACATACCAAGTTTTCAGTTACGATATCTCGCACTTATTACCATGCTGCACTTTAAGGGTATTAAGCGTTCAATATTAAGTTGAAAAAATCACAGCCGAGATCCGTGTACCTAACTGTAAAAATATGTAGGTGTGTGTGTGTGTGTGTGTGTGTGTGTGTGTGTTTACCCCCACGTGTCAGCCACGAAACTGGGGCGGAATAACAAAGGTTCTTATGCCCAACATTCTCGGCAAGACAAGGTAAAAAACACCTTTCACGTTCAAAAAATAATATGAAATTTACACCCAGACTCCACCTTAGTGTGATACATTTAAATATCAACAGTTAAGAGATCAAATGAGAGTCAAGGAAAAACATCTTCTACCTTAATTATATCTTTAGTAGGTGTATATAATGAAGGTAAAAATTTCAGTGTAGTACATAAGCCTTCTCGTTGACTTTCGCCTTGTCTCAACTTATTATTGTTTTATCCATCCTTAAGAGCACCTCAAACCTCTACCTCCCTCCATCTCTATTCTCCTTCACCTTCCCTACCTCTCTCTCTCTCTCTCTCTCTATCTCTCTCTCTCTCTCTTTCACTCTCTTTCACCCTCTCTGCCTCTCTCCCTCCCTCTCTTTCCCTTGCCCTTCTCTCTCTCCTCGTTTCTTTCACGCCCCCCTCTCCTTCCTACCTCTATTCTTATCTTACTCTCTCTCTCTCTCTCTCTCTCTCTCTCTTCTTACCTCCGTCCCTCTCTCTTTCTCTCACTCTACTTCCCTTTCTTTCACCCTCCCTCTCTTTCATTCTCCCTCTCTCCCCCTCTTTCACTCTCGCTCCCGCCCTCCCTCTCTTCCACCCTCCTTCCCTCTCTGCAACCTCCTCCTCTATCCCTTCATCCTTATCTTCTCTCTGTTCCTCCCTCTCTCGCTACCTCCCCCCCTCTCTCTCTCTCTCCCTCTCCTCCATCCTCCCTCCCTCACCCATCAACAGTGGCGTAACCTCTTGTGCAATGATGGCTTCCAAAACAATGTCTTGCCAGAGAGAAGGATAGATAGATAGATAGGAAGGATAGAAGGAAGGATAGAAGGATGGATGGATGGATGTAAGGATGGAAGGATGGAGAGGAAGGATGGATGGATGAATGGGAGGATGGATGGATGGATGGAAGGAATGAAGGAAGGATTGATGGATGGATGGATGGATGGACGGATGGATAGAAGGAAGGAAGGATGGTTGGATGGAAGGAAGGAGTGATGGATGGATGGATGAATAGATGGATGGAAGGAAAGAAGGATGGATGGATGGAAGGAAAGAAGGAAGGATTGATGGTTGGATGGATGGACGGATGGATGGATGGATGGATGGAAGGAAAGAAGGATGGATGGATGGAAGGGAGGAACGATGGATGGATGGATGGATGGATAGATGGATGGAAGGAAGGGAGGACGGATGGATGGATGGAAGGAATGAAAGAAGGATTGATGGTTGGATGGATGGACGGATGGATGGATAGATGGATGGAAGGAAGGGAGGATGGATGGATGGATGAAAGGAATGAAGGAATGAAGGAAGGATGGATGGATGGATGGATAGATAGATGGATGGATGGAAGGAATGAAGGAAGGATTGATAGATGGATAATAAAATCGTCATACAATTTCACTTATATTCATCACAATAAGTTCTCCTACAGCTGGGCACGACAGTTCAGAATGCCTCCTGTCATCTCAGAAGGGTTGGTATGCCTGGTTGCGCAGTGACTCTCAATATTTCGTAATAATATATTTTGGTCATCTTCATAGTATTTACAGGTGAAAAGAAGTCATTTAATTTATAATAAAACTTCCTCAGACAACAATGTTCAAATTTCTCGTTTAGTTTTGTAATCCCGTAAATCCTTAGAGCGTTCGAGGACTCTGTGTGGCGAGGGTATTGTATGTAGAGACTGTAGCGGGTACCAACAATGACAAACAATAAGTGTATTTAACCAAGAATAGCGCCAAGAAACCTGCTAAAAGCTGCTACAAGACCGCTCGATTTAGCACCTTTGATGTATTACGCAACTTTGTGAAGCTCTGGCAGGCTTACACTTGCTAAACCCAGGCGAGGACTACCTTAGCCTACCCGTGTCAACACAACACCTTCCCGGATTGCATGAAAATTAGCAATCCAACTACCTGGTTTGAGATTGGTTGGATTGGGTTGGGGAGAGCTGGATTGAGTTAAGGAGAGCTGGATTGGGTTAGGGACACTTTGACTGGGTTAGGGAGAGTTGGATTGGGTTAGGGAGAGTTGGATTGGGTTAGGGAGAGTTGGGTTGAGTTAGGGAGAGTTGGATTGGGTTGTGGAGAGCTGGAATGGGTTGAGTTGGATTGGGCTGGATCTGGATTATGTAATAACTAGCTTAGAGCATTTTACAAAGATTCAAAGGGACCCAGGAAGACCCATAGGCACCCGGGACTCCTGTGAGACCCGGAAGCAACTGAAAGATATTGAACAAACACCTCT